GAGAGAGAGAGAGAGAGAGAGAGAGACTGAGAGACAAATAAAGATAAATAAATAAGAGACAGACAGACGAAAAAACAGACAAAAAGAACAACAGACAGATAGAAAGAGACAGACGCATAGAAAAACAGATTTATATTACAAACAGATAGATCGAAACAGACAAAACAGACAGATAGATAAACAGACAAAAACAGACAGATAAAAAACAGAGATAGATACAACAAACAGAAAGATAGAAACAGACGGATAGATAGACAAACAGACAGACAGATATAAAGATAGATTGAAAAGCAGGTAGATAGAGACGTATAGAAAAACAGACAGATTGAGAGACAGATAGAAAAAGACAGAACAGGCAGAAAGAACAACAAGGAAAGACAGACAGAAAAACAGAGAGATATAGAAACAAACAGAGACAGACAGACTGAAAAACAGACAGACAGATGAACAGACAGAAAGAAACAGAAAGATAGAAAGAAACAAACAGAAAAAACAGAGATAGATAGATAGATAGATAGATAGATAGATAGATAGATAGATAGATAGATAGATAGATAGATAGATAGATAGATAGATAGATAGATAGATAGATAGATAGATAGATAGATAGATAGATAGATAGCCAAACTATTCTAGAAATAGAGATAAAGAGAAAGATAGAGAGAGAGACTGCATCATTTCCGTACTTGGCTCTAGTTTGCACAACTGCAATCGTTTGAGGATGGCAGCGTGGGTCGATGTAGAACATTCTTCTTTTGTTTTGCCTTTAAAAAGAAACAGACAAGTGTCAATTATCCCTCCTAGCCTCGAGGAGGGAACATCCTGAACACTAAAGACCTGGATGGTCTGGTTCAGGTGTTGGCTAACAGAATAAACACATAAAGCAATATAAATGTTCCTGCAGTAACCTGTTGCAGAGCTGCATGGCCTCTGCAGCGGCGGTTCCTTCATCTAGTAACGACGCATTGGCCACTGCCATCCCTGTGATGTCACACACCATGGTCTGATAGTTGAGTAAGCTCTCCAGGCGGCCCTGGGACACCTCGGGCTGGTACGGTGTGTATTGGGTCACCCTGTAGAGAACACAAATACTCACTGAAGCACTAATTTAAGACATTAAGCCATGCTACTCCTATATGTAATAATAAAAGTAATAATAATAAAAATTAAATGCAATTCTGGCGACACAGTGGCCTCACAGCAAGAAGGTCACTGGTTTTGGTCAGTTGGCATTTCTGTGTGGCTTTTGCATGTTCTCCCCGCGTTGGCGTGGATTTCTTCCGGTATTTTGCGAGACACTAGTATTGAGTTTAAAGGGACAGTTCACACAAAAATAATACATTTACTCACTATTTATCTCTGAGTTTCTTTATTCTGCTGAACACAAATGAAGATATTTTGAAGAAAGTTGAAATCATGTAACCACCGACTTCCATAGTAGGAAAAACAACTTCTTAAAAATGATGGTATTAAGTACCCCCAAATTAATATGTCGGGGGGAAATTTTAAATAAAATAATAAACAGGAAAAATCAAGACAGACCAAATTTAACAATTTAAATTAATTAAAATTGACTTCCATAATATTTGTTTACCTACTATGGAAGTCAATGGTTACAGGTTTTCAACAGAACAACAAAAATCTCAAACAGGTTTGCAACAAGTAAAAGGTAAGTAAATGAGGGGAAATCAATTTCATTTTTGGGTGAACTATTCGTTTAAAAAGTGCAACTTAAAGGCTTAACTAGTTAATTTAATTAGGGATGGCAAGTTAAGTTAATAAGGGAATTATTGGGTAACAGTGGTTTGATATGTAGTAGAGCTGCACTATCTTGGTAAAATTTGACACTGATTTTTTTTTCCCTGTGATCTAAATACAATTTCACCAGATTACTTAAATAACTCTTTGGAAAGTCATTACTTTAGATTGATTTGTTTGATTTTGTATGGGAGTAAAATTTAATAATATATTTTATGTACTTTATTTATGAGTGTAGTTTGTTTATTATATGTATAATCATTAACACAATGGTGCAAAAGTTAAAGTGAACAGAAGTGAGTCTTACAGTATTCAGGTACAGAAATTAAATAATCAAATGTAAAATACCACAGTGGCGGAGCAATGGGGTAGCATGTTCGCCTCACAGCAAGAAGGTCGCTGGTTCAAGCCTAAACACAATGGTGCTAGGTCAGTTGGCGTTTCTGTGTGGAGTTTGTATGTTCTCCCCGTGTTTGCGTGGGTTTCCTCCGGGTGCTCCGGTTTCCCCCACAAGTCCAAAAACATGCGGTACAGGTGAATTGGGTAGGCTAAATTGTCCGTAGTGTATGTGTGTGTGTGTGAATGGGTGTGCATGTTTCTCAGTGATGGGTTGCAGCTGGAAGGGCATCAGCTGTGTAAAACATATGCTGGATAAGTTGGCGGTTCATTCTGCTGTGGCGACCCCAGAATTATAAAGGGACTAAGTCGAAAAGAAAATGAATGAATGAATGAAAATACCATTGTATAGTTTTTAGTTATATAAATTATTAAATGAAATGCGTCTTTATGATCTCTTAAAATGCTTACATAGACCGTAAAAGCCTGTAATGGTTCAATTCTGTAGTGTCTCCACAAATCTTGAATGTTTAGTCCTGTGGATTCTGGTCAACTGTAAAGCCAATTTAACATTGCATATCTTGCGATGTGACTATTGCGGACGCACACATTGTGATATCGATGCTCAAACGATATGATGCGCAGCCCTTATATGTAGCCAAAATTCTAAAATTAATTAAAAATATTGACTTTAAAGACTATTTATTAAAAATAAAATAAAAAGCTGATTTTATAACAGCCAACGCAAAAAGAAAATAAGACTTTCTTCATAAGGAAAAAAAATGATATAAAAATTTCCTTGCTCCGTTAAACAGCACTCAGGAAATATTTTAAAAAGAATAAAAATTACAACAGAGGGCTAATCATTTGACCAACTTTAGCCCAATAAAATTACCCTTTTTTTATTTTGCTCTATTAGAAATTGAAACACTTCAGCAAAAAGTCACACATACCATCCTGAATTCTCAAGCAGGTTTCTTTGTATGACTGGTGGGACGGAGCAGTTATAATAGCCCATTCCGATGTAGGACCTCCACATCTTGTTCTTTGACGCAATCTTTTGAAGCGAATCAAGGATTTCATTTTCACCTGCAGTGATTAAACGCAAAGATAAGAACCGTAAAAACACAATCAGCATGTAAAACACTCTAGATTAATGATAAATGTGCTCAGCTACATAAAGGTTTTGCTTTTAGTTTGGTTTGATGGGAAAGCAAACAAATGATTTGACATCGTCAGACACATTTTCCAATACTCATGATTTCAGGCTAACAGAAAACAATGGTTTTAAAGAGATAGTTCACCCAAACACGGACATTCTGCCATTATTTTCTCACCCTTCTCTTGTTCAAAACCTATTTGAGTTTCTTCCTTCTGTTAAACACAAGTGAAGATATTTTGAAGAACGCTGGTTGCTAAGACCCATTGACTTTTATAGTATTTTTGTTTCCTACTACTAAAGTCATGGGGTCCCAGCAACCAGCATTCTTCAAAATATCTTCTATTGTGATCAAAAACCACTTAAATGTGTGTAAACGTCATTTTTGGGTGAACTACCCCTTTCAGAGTTTATACAGGAATCAGAGAGTGAAATTTAATACCTTTTAAAACCTTTTTAAGACTGTGTTACATTCATTTTAAAACCTTATAATCACTTTTCAACCGGAAACACTGGCGAGATTTTAACTTGCAGTATATTTACCAAATATTAATGTAAGAAATTAATCCAAAACTCAAACATTATTCATATACTGAATAAAAATCTATTAAATCTAGCTAATTTAGTAGGTTGGCACCTATAGGACTGCAGAAATAATAGTGTGGCCTTGGTTAATGCAGTAAACGAAGGAGCATGATGTCATCTAGAAGGATTTCATTGATTTCGTAAACTACACGGCATGCTTATAGTCGCAGATTTTAACATACATTTAGCATACATTGCATAATCAAAAATGATATGAACTTTAATACCTTGCAAAATAGCTTTTAAGACTTTTAAAAACTTTTCAAGGGCCTTAAATTTCTCTGATTTATTAACTTTGAATACTTTAAGACCCTGTGGACGTCTTTAAAACTAGGATTTATTTCTTAGCTGCTTTGATGGACAACAAATAAACATTATTTAACTTAACGCCAAACTGAAACTGATTCAATACTAGGAAATCTCACATGACCTATACTAAATGCATCATAGTAAATATACCTGGTATTTGCACACACCTACAAAAACATCAAAACAATGACAAGAGGGAACAGTGTGACCTACATTAAGCTGCTGAATAATAGAAGAGCACATGATCTTGCTGATTAATATTTTTTGCAATTTATAATTTACTAGCGGAAAGGCAAATAAAGGGCACATGTGGGACATTTCCTGATGGCTAGGTAACTCGTTTAATGGTTGCAGCTTGAAGCAGGCACTAAAGCCGGTTCATACCGAAACTCAAAAATTCCCGAGGCATTGTGCTGCAGCTTAGCAACACTGCAACTGAACAGGGCAAAGATGAAAGGAAAAGCAAGCAGAGAGGAAAGAAATGCACATAATTGCTGATGCAGACATCAGTAGGATGTTCTTTTTGTCAAGTTCTACACTTAATATTTGCGCGAAGGTGAGGCAGATAGCTGGTTTCATTTTTCAAACCACTATTTTAAAGAATAAAGATTAATAAAAACTACAAACTGGAAAGTTTAGAGAGGCAAAGCGGCCCATTATAGTTGAGCAGTGAATTTTTTTTCGCAGGATTTGCAGAGCAAGCTCTGTGCAGCTGAACCAGCAGAATCCAGTCCAGCCCCCCCATCAGCTTCAGCACGGCTCGCTTCATTAAAGACACACACACAAGCACAGGAGAAAACTCACTGACTCCAGCCATATGGCAAACCTCAGTAACTAGAAGATGTATTTTAATACAGTAAGAGTATAATAGGGAAATAAAAAAAAACATTCAAATGCATATGGTTAGCATATAGGTTTTCTAAATGACTGTTTGCATGAGTATAAAGCTGTTAAACTCACTGACTCTGGCCATATTGCAAACCTCAGTAGCTAGAATGTGCATTTTAATACTGGAAGAGTTTAATAAATTACTTAAAAAAAAAAAATCACATTCAAATGTATATAGTTAGTATGTAGGTTTTCTCAATTAATTTTCGCACATGCATAAATGTGTTAAACTCACTGACTCTGGCCATAAGGCCAACCTCAGTAACTAGAATGTGCATTTTAATACTGTAAGATAATAATAAAGAAATAAAAAACAACATTCAAATGTATATAGTTAGCATGTAAGTTTTCTCAATTAATTTTTGCACATGCATAAATGTGATAAACTCAATAACTCAGGCCATGTGGCAAACCTCAGAGTAACTACAATACGCATTTGAATACATTAAGGTAATAAAAAAATAAATAAAAACATTCAAATGCATATAGGCTTTCTAAAATGAATGTGTATAATTGTCTTAGTCACTGACTCCTGCCATTTGCCAAAGCTCAGAGTAACTAAAAAATGCATTAATACAGTTAGATAACATTTATCTATTTAAAAAAAGCATTCAAATGCTTAAAGGTTTTCTAGATGACTATTGGCATGTGTATAAATGTGGTTAACTCACTGACTCCAGCCATATTGCCAATCCAGTAACTAGAATGTGCATTTTACAGTAAGCTAATAATAATAAATAAATAAATAAATAAATAAATAAATAAAAACATTAAAATGAATATAAGTTTTTAAATGACTATTTTCTTGTATATGAATGTGTTAAACTCACTGACTCCTGCCATTTAACAACCATCAGTAACTAGAACCTCAGAGTAAGTAGACTATGCATTTTAATACAGTAAGATAATAACAATAATAATAAACTCAAATGCATAGTTAGCATATAGTTTTTATTATTATTTTTTTGCACATATATAAATGTGTTAAGCTCACTGACTCCTGCCATTAACCTGAGTAACTAGAATATGCATCTTAATACAGTAAGATTATAATATAAAAAAATCTAATGCATATAGTAAGCATATGGTTTCCATTCAGCAAATCTCAGTAACTAGAATTTGCATTTTAATACAATAAAATAATAATTTATTATATATATATATATATATATATATATATATATATATATATGCATTTGGTTAGTATATGGTTAGTAATGGTTTTCTAAATTACTTCTGTGCACATGCATAAATCTCAGAGTAAATTAAGTAATTTTAAAAATCTAATGTATTTGATTAGCATATAGGTTTTCTAAATGACTTTTTGCACATCCATAAATGTGTTAAACTCACTGAGTCTTGCTATTTGTCAAACCTCTGTAACTAGAATATACATTTTAATACAGTAAGATAATAATAAATAAAAACAACTTGAAAATTCTATTCAAATATCAAATTGTCCATCCATTTACGAGTCTGTTTTATTTTTGCATGTTCAGAAATTAAAATTAGAATGCAAAATCTCTGACTCCTGCCACAACCTCAGAGTTGATGACGTATGCAATTTAAGACAAAATACATAAAAAAACAAATTCAAATGGATAGTTTTTCAAAATGACTTTTTTTCACATGCATAAATGTGCTAACCCACAAACAAACTGGTGATTTAAATTATATGCGAGTAAATTCACATTAAAACGTGTTTATTCACACAATGTCATGATTTTCATCGTAAATTCATATGAAATCATTATTAGACGTTATATATGCAAGTGCAACTCATGTGTAATGTTCTTTAATGCCTATTTAATGTCAATTATTAGACAAAACTTGTATGTTAGAGGCTCTCGCGTGATGTAATGCTACTGCTAACCAGATCAAACTGGCCGTGTGACGCTGAACTTTACACTCTAATTGTCATCCTATTGGCATCGGCTGAGGGCGGCAGGAGATTGGTGCTGCTCGCCGGGCTCCGCAAAAACAACTCCTAATATGTTCAAAGGAAGACTTAACGGTGGAAAACACTCCAGTAAGGTCTATTGGCACACAAAGAGCGTGTAACCTACATTCCTCGCTCAGATGGACTCCTTTGTTGGAGTCTGGTTCATCAGAAAATCCGAATACGAAATATTTAGTAATAAAAATATGTAAATTTGATGGAAAAAGCGCGATGGGATGGATGTTTGCGTTAGGTAATAATCTAACACGAGGGATGCTTTTTTTTTTAAATATATAAAAATGTGGGAGATTTAATCCTGCGTCGTTCCTTCACACAGTCAATGCAAATAAATGATGAATTCACACAACAACAAACGACACGTGTTTCCTCATTCTGCCGCTTCCGAGAGGAGAAACTTACACACTGGATCGTCCATTTTCAAACTTCTTCCCAGGCGGATGGATGGGGGAATTGTGTTTTCAATAAGCTGAGAGACTGACTGAAATAACCAGAAAAAAATATATATAATCATACTTTAGCTTATTTATTTTACCATAATTATTATTATCAGCAATATCAACAACAGCAGCAGCACACAATCAATTGTTTGCACGTTTTTAAAGTTTAAAAAACTGACTATTTAAGCATTTTAAATAAATATTGTGTATTAACATCAAGTAAACAAACAGCTCTTACCTCAACTCCGAGAGTGTTGAGCATCTCTCTTTTCTCTTTGTCGCCCGGTCCAATATGTCTCTCGGAAAACTCATCGTGCCTGGGCAGAATTCGTTCAATCTTCCTGGACCACAAAACTTGCGAGGTGGCCAAACAGCGCACATTTGCAGACACATCTCCAGTTGTGGCTTTAAGTTTGTTAAAAACGTCCCCTTTTCTGCTGATATTGCTGTACGGCACGCGGGCGGACACCGACCTGCTGATGACAACACGCCAGGATTTAGCGCAGCTCTGCATGTTCTTGACTTAGAAATTGACTAGAAATGTACGGGGAGAGTGTTTCAGCCAGCCTCCACGCCGTGAAACCCGCTAAATGTCTGTGAAATTCCTCAAAAGCCTACTTTATACGCCTCCTCGTTGCACAAGGAGCAGCCAATCGATAAGGGAACTCTCTCTGACGCAGAGACAAGCCCCGCGCGCGCGCTCCGCTTCCACAGAAAATATAACGACTCGTTCACTTTCTTTATTACTCAACATAGTTGGTATCTGCTCGTTATATCCTCCATATGTCTGTACATGTTATATAGATTTTTTTTATCAGGTGACTGACGCTAATAGTGGAGCAACCACATTTCCGAATGGAGATTAATCAGGTAAAGTTAGCCAAGTAAGTTAGTCAGAGTGAAATTACAGTAAACATGAGGTAAAGTTGGTTATATATTCGTATATTAGTTTATTTTTGAACTGTGACAACTATTTTTTGTATTGTTTACTTAGCTTCTTTAAGTATTGGGTCTGAAATAGCATGTAATAATTTAAAAATAACATTAGCACTATTTAATAGACTGTAAACTATCCCAGATAGCAGGCAGTAATCGGCCCGAGCTCGGCTGCCCTCCGGCGCCTCCGGCTCCGACTCGGCATCGGCGAGTGTTATCCGGGCCGAGTGCGGCCCGCAGCTCGCTCGCGCACATGCGGTTGTGATGCGGCTGTAAAGCACTGGCCCGATTCCGGTCAACCATATCCTGGCCGCTTCTTGCAAGGACTCGGCTGATGGCAACCGATTAAAGTTCTTATTTTATCTAGTAATCTGTTAGCTCCACGTTTAATGATAATTTGAGAAAATATTCATGGTACGATAGCAAAAAAAAAAAAAAAGAATATTTAGTGTGGATGGTCTCAATGTTTAGACGCAAACAAAACAATATTATTTATAAATAGATTATACATGTCGTCTAGAGAAAAACTATGTAAAATTCGCTTATTTTTGGGATAGCACGCTCCTGTGCTGACTGTTTTTTTTAAAGCAGAAGTTGGTTTCATAATAAACACATGCGTTACTAAACTCCTGATCCAAACTCCAATCCAGACGGTGGCGGTAATGCTCCAAAAAGCTGGTTGTCAACCACCATGGCACGAAGATCACAAGAAGAAAAAGTTTGGTTTTTCAAAGATTCACGTGGATTCTGGTCAGAAAGGTAAGCTTTTTACTGCTTGTGTTCTGTATAATTAGCGAATTTAGAGCTTAAAATATTTCCACGGTGTTTGGTTGTAACAGCGTTTAGTAATTTAAAACAGTTTGATACGAAATGTAACTTGCTTTAAGAAACACGACTGGAGCTAATGTATGCTAACGCTAACAGTTACAAACACGTCTGAAAGTTCCTTTTCCTTTTACACAATGTTAGATTGTAACGTGTGTAGTAACTGAAAACTATTTTAATTATTTTAAAGAAACATGAAACGAATTTGTGTGTATGCTAACTTTGCGTTAAAGAAAGTTTCTGTAGACGAATCCATTAACTAACATGGCAACGTGTTTTTTTCCTGATTTAACATTATAAAGTACCGTGGATGTTGAAAAAATCATTGTACAGGCGTATACTTATCCAACAGTATTAATTCTGTGATTATGTGTAAATAAAAACTAATCGTTTTGGATTAATAAAATATTATTGTTTATCTTTATGCAGTTAGTCACGAAAATGATCGAAACTCGACTGTTTACTATTGTCTTTAAATTATCCAAGAGAAATATATTAGTGTGCACTTTAATTCATATGTTTTAGCCTATGTGAATCAATTATATCTTTTGTTCAAGCTGTAATGGTCAGTTAATGTAAAACTGAACGTCTTAAAGCAGATTTTGATGTTTTTTTTTATGTTATTGACAGTGATAAATTCTGATTTAAATGAATGGGTAACAATATTTGTTGGTTAAGTCTTATTGTTCTTGTTTAACAAAGGTTAGTGAGATCATTTTGCAGCACATCACGACCAAAGAAGTCAATGGCACACTCTTTTGAACGTGAATAGGAATGTTATAGTTGTGTGCTAAAAGTACATTATAAGCTGTAAACTGCTGATATATTTTCAACATAGATTGAGCTTTTCAGACATTACATTACTAATTGCTTCACAAACAGCTGAAATGGTCTATTGTTATTGGCTATCATCATCAAACATTTTTCACAATGGTAGGTTAATCTTCATGGGTACAGAATAATGCATGTGCTTGACCATCTTACAAATCTATGTCTCAGATTCATAAGGCTGTCACTCTGCATGAATCTCCGAATAAATCTTGTGCAACCTTCTGTGTACTGATTATTTACACTATAGGTATTATATGCATTAATTAACTTTGATAGTATTTCAGGATTTGAACTTTTCTTTACGGGAGGTTAACAACAATGTGATGTTTTATTATAGATGCATATGAGGAAGCTCGACTCAAACATCCACACGCAACTGTGATTTCTGACTGGTAGACAGATGAGGATGATGATCGCCCGTCATACATCTAAAGACAGAACAGGTTTGTTTGCAATTATTTTAAACACATACTGTCAACATTATGTCATTGATCTATTACAACCTGTGAGTTTTGCCCTGGCACTATACTAAAGTGATGTTTTGTTTTGTAATTGTATCTGATTAAGGGACAGTATAGACACATCTATACCGTGATGAAGAAAAATTACTTGGAACAAAGAGGCTGGATAAAAGGCAGGTATGAAGATTTCAGAAATCAATGCAGCACCACAAGTACCATCACCATCAATGACTATGGCAGAAATCTTAAGACCACCATCAAGATGCACAGATACTGTACATTCCAGTACACCAGGCGTGTCCAAACTACGGCCCGCAAGGCTTTTTATAAATATCAATAGAATCTGGCCCGCTATACAAAAATGAACGTAATTCAATAAATAACCACCGGGTGTCGCTATTACATGCATTCAATTAAGCAGCAGTTCTTGTTATGATCTATCTATCTATCTATCTATCTATCTATCTATCTATCTATCTATCTATCTATCTATCTATCTGTCTGTCTGTCTGTCTGTCTATCTATCTACACACAGTTGAAGTCTGAATTATTAGCCCCTCATTGATTTATTTCTTCTTTTTTAAATATTTCCCAAATGATGTTTAACAGAGCAAGAACATTTTACAGTATGTCTGATAATATTTTTTCTTTTGGAGAAAGACTTATGTTTTATTTCGGCTAGAATAAAAAGCGGTTTAAATTTTTTCATGAACCATTTTAAGGTCAAAATTATTAGCCCCTTAAGTCTTCAGAACAAACCATTGTTATAAAATAACTTGCCTAATTACCTTAACTTGACTAGTTAACTTGATTAACCTAGTGAAGCCTTTAAATGTCACTTTAAGCTGTATAGAAGTGTCTTGAAAAATATCTAGTCAAATATTATTTACTGTCATCATGGCAAAGATAAAATAAATCAGTTATTAGAGATGAGTTACTAAAACTAATATGTTTAGAAATGTGTGGAAAAAATGTTTAACTCTCCGTTAAACAGAAATTGGGGAAAATATATATATATACATATACATGTGTCTGTGTGATGTATGTAAAATTTGGCCCGCGACAACGTTTGTTTTTTTGCATCTGGCCCTTGGCCCAAAAAGTTTGGACACTCCTGCAGTACACCTATGAACATTTACAGTCTTTGTTCTAGTGCAGTTTGAGATCAAGACAGAACTTATTGCATCTCGTGATGTCTTTGTGAGAATTGAAGACATCACTAAATTTGTTAAGGTTTAATGCAGCTAGAAAGTAAAGATCAACTAGAGAATATCAGCAGTGTCTAACCCACTGTTGTATTTACAGAAGTTGTATGAGAATAAGCTACAGGTTGATTTATACTAATCTGTTATTTTTCTTTTTTAGCACGACTGACTGAAGTTTTAAAATCATGCAACGTCATAAAGCAGCAGCTGGGCCTGATTCTCACAAAACCAAAACAGACGTGATGAAATTCCAGATGTAAACACATTTGACCTTCCTTTGGCCAATTTGATTTGGAAAAGCTTGAAAATCAACTAAAGGAGCAGCCCGAACAAATGAAGAAACTGGTAAGTTCAAGCTCTTGCTAATTTCAAAGTGTTTTAAGTTTGTTTTTTTTTATTGTTTTTTTTTTTGCTTCGTAGGTAGCCTACTTTTTTCCTAATTTTTTCTTTTTTTTTTACATTAGTACTTGTTCACTACTAATTATCTGTTTATCTTTTAATCACAGATGGAGTGAGGACAAATGTCCATACCACGCCACTGATAAAGAAGTGGAAAAATGCATTACAAGGTAGCTACAACTTGCCCCTGACAGGGATGGAGGAAGAAAGAAGAGAAAGCTAATGTGTCAAATGTCTACATCACTATTTTGTTTTATTTTTTAAACAACATTTTAAGTGTATTAGGATGTTCACTGATACTTGAACAATTTGTTTCTTTCATTTGCATTTATATATATGTATATGTATATATATATATATATATATGTGTGTGTGTGTGTGTGTGTGTGTGTGTGTATGTATGGTATGTATGTGTGTGCGCCAAATTCTAAAGAAACATCTTGATACATTTTTAATAAACGTAATACAAATAAAATTATAAATAAAAAATTGCACAAGACGTGTATATATATGAAATGCATAATCATCTCACTCATGTCTTGCTGTTTGTGCAATTGATTTTGTTCAAGTTTATTTAAAAAAAAAGTTTGACTTTATACTTCTGCAATTTTATATATATATATATATATATATATATATATATATATATATATATATATTTGTTTGTTTATTATTATTTTAATGTTTTATTAAAAATGTTTCAAGATGTTTCTTCAGAATTCTGCAGTACTTTTTACAAGTTTGACTTGGATATTTTACGGATTGTCATTGGTATTTTTAAGATGTTTCTTGCTTTATCTTAAATTGGTTTCTATATTTAGGTTTATATAAAATTTAGCTGTTTTTTTACAAATTTTTAATTCAAGTCTATTGGGAAAACAGGGTTGTTTTAAAAAACATCTGTGTTTGTGTGTAATTTTTAGAGTTTTTGTTTAAATCTTTCTGTGTGTCTTTATTGTGTTGTTTTATTGTTGTTTTTATATTGATATTCTTGTGCACTACAAAATTATTTATAAAATTTTAGTACTATTTTTTTCATGCAATCAATAAACGTTTAACATTTATTTATTTTGTCATTTGTCTGATTATTTTCGTTACAGAATATGTATGCAGTTTGCACTTTATTCAAAGGTTAAACGCAGTTCTTACACTTTGTGTTTACATTATAGCCAGTGTTTGCTGTTATATAAATTCAAATGGTTGTAATACCATATATCAAGTACCAATGTAATACCAAAAGGTTTTATAAGGTGTTTAAATACGGAGTCGCGCCAGCTCCGGGCCGCAGCGCACATTACCCTCGCGCCGATTCCGGCGCGGATGCGCAGCGTCGGCTCGCTTACGGCCGCCGCATCTGGCCCGCTTGATTCGGGCCGGAATCGGGCAGTGAGTCCACAGGCATCCGGCCCGAGTCCGGCAGCCGAAGTTGGGCCGAGGGGTTAGTCTCCGGCAGGCGACAATCTAGCCGGAACTGGCCCGAGTGTATTTTGCTATCTGGGATGTACTTTGATAGTCATTGGCTGCTAATGTGATTTCACTGTTTAGATTTCGCAAAGAATGCTTTTATGAGATTATATAATTGATGACAAAGTCAAAATGTGTGATTTTAAAACCAACTTTACCTCAACAAACAGAACCCAGTCATGAGAGAAATTTAGCTGAGATTCATACATCAAAAACCTGAATAAATAAGATTTCTACTGATGTAGGGGTTGTTGGATAATATTTGGCTGAGATGAGCTACCTTTACCTTTAATCAGGTAAAGTTAGCCAAGTAAGTTAGAGTGAAATTACAGTAAACATGAGGTAAAGTTGGTTATATATTCGTATATTAGTTCATTTTTGAACTGTGACAGCTATTTTTGTATTGTTTACTTAGCTTCTTTAAGTATTGGGTCTGAAATAGCATGTAATAATTTAAAAATAACATTAGCACTATTTAATAGACTGTAAACAATGTACTTTGATAGTAGTCATTGGCTGCTAATGTGATTTCACTGTTTAGATTTCGCAAAGAATGCTTTTCTGAGATTATATAATTGATGAGAAAGTCAAAATGTGTGATTTTAAAACCAACTTTACCTCAACAAACAGAACCCAGTCATGAGAGAAATTTAGCTGAGATTCATACATCAAAAACCTGAATAAATAAGCTTTCTACTGATGTAGGGGTTGTTGGACAATATTTGGCTGAGATAAAACTGATTGAAAATGTCAGAGAAACATCTAAATATTGAGAAAATCTTCTTTAAAGTTGTTATATCCTCCTTTGGTCTGTACATGTTATATAGATTTTGTTTTATCAGGTGACGTTAATTGTGGAGCAACCACATTTCTGAATGGAGATGAATCAGGTAGAGTTATAGCCTAGTCAGAGTGAAATTACAGTAAACATTGGAGTAAAGTTGGTTTTATATTCGCATATTTGTTCCTTTTTGAACTGTGACTTCTTTAATTTGTTTACAAATCTACTTTGAATATTGGGTCTGAAATAGCATGTAAGTATGACTTTAAAACAGCATTAGCACTATTTAATTGACTGGAAACCATATACTTTGATAGTCATTGGCTGCTATTATGGTTTCCCTATTTAGATTTTGCAAAGAATACTTTTCTGAGAATAGATCATCAATGAGAAAGTTGCATTGTATGAATTTTAAACCAACTTTACCTCAACAAACAACAAACCCAGTCTTGACTCATGAGGGACGTTTTTGGTTGAGATGTATACATCAGAAAGCTGAATAAATAAGCTTTCTATTGATGTAGGGTTTGTTGGACAATATTTGGCTGAGATAAAACTGATTGAAAATATCTGAGAAAAAATATTAAGAAAATATTAAGAAAATCTTTAAAGTTGTTATTTCCTCCATATGTTTAGACATGTTTCATAGATATTTTTCAACGCTCAATTACGTTAATTGTAGAGCAATCACATTTCTGAATGGAGCTGAATCAGGTAAAGTTAAAGGCTATTGCAGTGTTTCTCAGCACGTTCCTGAAGGACCACCAGCTCTGCACATATTCCTTGTCTCCTTAACCAAACACACCTTATTCAGACCATCAGCTCATTAGCAGAGACTGAAAGACCTGTAATGGATGTGACAGACAAAGGGGACATCTAATACATGCTGTGGTGGTGGTCCTGCAGGAACGTGGTTGAGAAACACTGGGCTGTAGTATATTCAGAGTGAAATAAATGCAATACTACACAAAGAAACCAGTCATAAGTGTTGTCATTGGGGTAGTACCTTTTTAAAAGATACACTTTTATACCCATCAAGTCCACATTTGTATCATAAAGGTACATATTTATACCTAAAAAGTATAAAGTCAAAGTCAAAGTCAGCTTTATTGTCAATTCAGCCACATGTACAAGACATACAGAGAATCGAAATTGCGTTACTCTCAGACCCAAGGGGCTTAACATTAATATAAAATATATATATAAAAAAGCGTAGAGTTTAAGAAAAAAAGAAAATTTACAGTATATACATTGCAAATAAATGTGGTCTAAAAAATAAACATATGTAATAAAAATTGTAAACAATACAGTGACATTAAGGGCATATAGCAATGAGTGCAAAGTAAACCAGAGTTGTGCAGATAAAAAACTGTATAGTGCAAAAAGAACTTGTAAACATGATAATTGTGATAAAGTGACAGTGACATATTGGGAGGTAGTATAGTGATAAATAAATGTGTACAGCATAGTACAGTAAAGGTACAAAAAGGCACAACAATGTTCCTGTAAGGCAAAAAAGATTTTCTTACTTTTCTTACTCCATTGGCTGATTATTTTGCTTGTTTTCAGGAAAAACACTTCATTTTGGCATATTATTTCTTAAAACGAGACTATGGGCTCTATTTTGACGATCCATGCGCAAAGTGCAGAGTGCAAAAGCATTAAGGGCGTGTCAGAATCCATTTTTTACCATTTTAAGGACGAAAAATCTGCTTCGCGCCGTGGCGCATGGTCTAACAGAGTTGAGCTTATTTTCTTAATGAGTTATAGGTGTGTTTTGAGAATAAACCAATCAGAGTCTCATCTCCCATTTGCTTTAAGAGTCAGTTGCGTTGCCCCATAGCGCATTTGCTATTTACCAGTGGCGTAGTGGACGGGCCCGCAGGGCACGCACCGCGGGGTTGGCCCCGCGTGATTAGGGAGCCCTGCGTCGTTGTGATTTTCAATAATTGAAAATCCGGCAACCGCAATAATTAAACTCTTGGAAACAACTGTGGTCGGAACCAAAGTTCACAGGTCTTTGTTCTCTGAACTCCTCTCAAGCGGTGGACTACTTCATTCTGATTGCTTGCCGCCGAACCGTGTCATAGCTCATACCATAAAGTTGACTTGATTTCAACTGTACTCGACGCTCACACCAGAGACGACGTGCCGTGCTGTTACTCGCCGCCGGTTCTCATTGAAAATGAATGACTTCTGGCTACTTTGACGCTCTCGCCACTTTCGGTTTGTGATTGCTCCTCAGTTTGTGAAGGCTTTACGCGTTGTCGCTCCACCCCGCCTCCCTTCCCCGCTCCTCAATTTGTGATCGATTCCCCGCGTTGTCTCCCCCCTCCTTCATCAGGGGGCCCCGTCAGTGATCCCTGCAGGGGGGCCTCACCTTCACCTTCACGTACTTCTTGTAGGCACAGACATCCATTACCCTATAAATAATTAATTTCGTTTGTTAAGCGCAAAGATTTGTTTCAAAACTATTACTAAATTCAGTTCTAATTTCCAGCAAACGAATAAATGAACAATAATAACGTAGTGTGGTCTAAAAACTGAGTTATTTCCAAATACACATGCTGTGCCCCATGGTCTAAAACCTGACAAGTGGGCAAATCTAAGCTTGTTTTTCGTAAAACAAATATAAATATGCATGTAATAAATAATACTGCTAATAATAATAACATTATACAAAAGCAAATTGTTATGAATAAACTGAAAAAGACAGAGATGAAGAAGGCATGTATGGTTTTTATATTTACGTGGGCTAGAAAATGTTTTGTAATATTTTAATCTTCTATATTTATATCCTATATATATCCTCATTATATCCTATAGATATCCTTAATATTTAAATTATTTTTCCATATGTAAAGATATTTGCATATTGCTCTACATCCTGTCTGTATTAAGCAATGTTCAAGCGAGGCGCACAACACGCTCTGCGCTGGACAATAGATCGGCTTTGTTCTGGTCTATAGAACAGTCTATTATAGATTCTTAAAATAGCACAGTGCCAGCAATACACCTCAAGACGCCTTCCTTTTTAGACCAGAACACCCACGGGCGCATATTTGAGTGCAAATGCATTTGCTATTTAAACAGCGTGCTGCAAAACGTCAAAACTACTCTTGCGACGAGCTGAAACTAGCAAACAACAATTGTGTTGCGTCTTGTGCCGCATTGCGCCGGGTGTATGATAGGGCCTTATTTGTTTTTCCTATCTAGAAAATGCTTTTTGATTTAGGAATTTTTAGATAATTGGACTAGAAACAGGACAAAAAATCTAAGTAAGAAACACATTTTTTTTTGCAGTGTGTAAGCTACAATAGTGTAAAAGGTACTACCCTAATGAGAGCTTTTGTACATTTATTTCTGAGTGTGAGACTTGTTGCCAAATAATTATTTACAGCGCAGCTCTGGTCACAGAAAGGAATCGAATGCAAATATTTTTCCATCCATGCGTTGTAGGTGTTTTCCTAAGATTCTTAAGATCTGTTTACCTATAACCCGGTTGGCACTCTGATAGACTCCATTTAGCACATAATCACTGACTAAATGTCTGTCTCTCTACACACGTCTGGAATCCAGAAGGATAAATCACTCTGAAGATCAAACAAAAAAAGTCTATATATTTGTCACATCTCACATTTTCCTCTCACACATGATTGTGAAGGCTTTAACACAATGATAGATCTCCTTTGGATTTCTTCTGATGGACACCCTCAGCTGTTTTACCAGTTTATCAACATACCATTTGCATTTCTGTTTCATTGCTTATCCAGTCAAGGACATCTCTCGATAATCAACAGGTACAGTAATGATAAATCCATTGTTCTTTGTCAGAACATATTTAGGTCACCTACTGAAAAAATGAAATTCATCTCTTGTAAGGTACGTCTATTTGGCGATGGGAGGATTCATGCTGGCTATTGCAACAATGGGTCCATATAGCTCACTGCTGTTCCTGAGTGCTATTAAACTGCTGTTACTGATCCACTATATACATCCAATGCATCTTCATCGGTGGATTCTGGGACTGCAGATGTGTTGGCAAACCTGCTGGCATTTGTACGTCCAGTACCAGATATACTGGCTTCAAGAGGCACCAGACTCAAGGTATGAACCGTGTTAGGTGCATTACAGTGCATCCGGAAAGTATCCAATAGCGCTTCGCTTTTTCCACATTTTTTTAATGTTGCAGCTTTATTCCAAAATGGATTAAATTCATTTATTTCCTGAAAATTACACACACAATACCCCATATTGACAATGTGAAAAAAAGAGTTTTTGAAATTGTTGCAAATTTATTAAAAATAAAAAAGCTGAAAAATCACATGTACAGAATTATTGACAGCCTTTGCTGTGAAGCTCTAAATTGAGCTCAGGTACGTTCTGTTTCCACTGATCATTCTTGAGATGTTTCAGCAGCTTAATTAGAGTTCACCTGTGGTTAATTCAGTTGATTGGACATGATTTGAAAAGGCATACACCTGTCTATATAAGGTCCCAGGGTTGACAGTGCATGCCAAAGCACAAACCAAGCATGAAGACAAAGGAATTGTCTGTTGACCTCAGAGACAGGATTGTCTCGAGGCACAAGGCTGGGGAAGATTACAGAAAAATTCTGCTGCTCTGAACGTTCCAATGAGCACAGCGGCCTCCATCATCCATTTGTGGAAGATGTTTGGAACCACCAGGACTCTTCCTAGAGCTGGCCGGCCATCTAAGCTGGGAAAAAGAGGCTTAGTCAGGTATGTTATCAATAACCCGATGACCAATAACCACTCTGTCTGAGCTACAGTGTTCTTCTGTGAAGAGAGGAGAACCTTTTCAGAAGGACAACCATCTGTGCAGCAATCCACTAATCAGGCCTGTATGGTTAAGTGGCCAGACGGAAGCCACTCCCGGCCTGGAATTTGCCAAAAGATATCTGAAGGACTCTCAGACTATAAGAAACTGAATTCTCTGGTTTGCTGAGACAAAAGTTGAACTCTTAAGAGTGAATGCCAGGCGTTGTGTTTGGAGAAATCCAGGCACCGCTCATAACCAGGTTAATACCCATCCTACAGTGAAGCATGGTGGTGGCAGCATCATGCTGTGGGGATGTTTTCAGCAGCAGGAACTGGAAGACTTGTCAGGATAGAGGGAAAGATGAATGCAGCAATGTACAGAGACATCCTGAATGAAAACCTGCTTCAGAGTGCTCTTGACCTCAGACTGGGGCAATGGCTCATCTTCCAGCAGGACAATGACCAATAGCACACCGCTAAAATATTCACAACAACTTGGTGAATGTCCTTGAGTGGCCCAGCCAGAGCCCAGAACTTAATCCTATTGAACATCTCTGGAGAGATCTGAAAACGGCTGTACACTGTCGCTTCCAATCCAACCTGATGAAGCTTGAGAGGTACTGCATAGAGGAATGGGCAAAAATTCCCAAAGGCAGGTGTGCCAGGCTTGTGGCATCAAATTCAAAAAGACTTGAGGCTGTAATTGCTGCCAAAGACGCATCAACAAAGTATTGAGCAAAGGCTGTGAATACTGATGTACATGTGATTTTTTAGGTTTTTTATTTTGAATAAATTTGCAATTATTTCACATTGTCATTATGGCTGTAACATAAACAAATGTGGAAAAAGTGAAGCACTATGAATACTTTTCGGATGTTCTGTAAAGGGGACCTGTTATGTCCATTTTAGCAAGTCTCTGGTGTCCCTAAAGTATGAATGTGAAGTTTCAGCTCAAAATACCACACAAATAATGTTTCATTCCTCTTTGACACTGCCCCTCTTAGGCTTTGATCCTAATTGTGCCACTTTGGTGACTGTAGCTTTAAATTCAAATGAGATTGTGAGATAAGGGCGGAGCTACAATGCCTATGTGTCAGCATAATGGCAGATTCAAAAGTGAGACTAACGTCCTATACCAATGAGGTTGAAATGGTCACTAATGGGCGGAGCTTTCTTCCTCTGATGACACGAACAAAGGGAGAATGTCAATCAAAGTGTTTCTGCAGTCTGTTTGCATCCCTAAATGAAAACATCCAATTGTATTCCACCCTGAGCTCTCGTTTTATTCCAAACAGGCTTTTACTGGCCATATCTGCACTCATGTTGATGACCCAGAGGATTTCCTCTCTATCACTCGATTTCCAAGAGGGGACGATCTCCAATCAGTCAATCCTTATTCCATTCCTAACCTACTCGCTTTATTTCCCTGCCCTTCTTGGAGGTCCACTTTGCAGTTTCAATGCTTTTGTTCAGTCTGTCGAGCGTCAACACACCAGCATGACTTCATATTTAGGAAATCTCACTTCAAAGATATCACAAGTTATAGTTTTGGTGTGGATTAAACAGCTTTTCAGTGAGCTTTTGAAATCTGCCACGTTTAACATCGACAGTGTTTGTCTTGATGTATTGTGGATTTGGATCTTTTCGCTGACACTTAGGCTTAATTACTATGCACACTGGAAGATGAGCGAGTGTGTTAATAATGCTGCAGGATTGGGTGTCTATTTTCACAAACACAGTGGACAAACATCATGGGACGAGCTTTCTGATGGGAGTGTTTTGGTGACTGAAGCATCCAGTCGTCCTTCGGTTTTTGCGCGAAAGTGGAACCAAACCACGGTGGATTGGCTTCGAAAAATAGTCTTCAACAGGACCAGCAGATCTCCACTGTTCATGACTTTTGGGTTTTCTGCACTGTGGCACGGTCTTCACCCTGGGCAGATTCTGGGTTTCCTCATTTGGGCCGTCACTGTGCAGGCGGACTACAAACTGCATCGCTTCTTGCACCCGAAGCTTAACTCCCTGTGGAGAAAACGGCTGTATGTGTGTGTAAACTGGGCCTTTACTCAGCTGACCGTCGCATGTGTTGTGGTCTGTGTGGAGCTTCAGAGTTTGGCATCAGTTAAGCTGCTCTGGTCTTCGTGTATTGCTGTGTTTCCACTGCTGAGTGCTCTGATCTTAATAATCCTCTGAGAAACTGAATTATAGTATTGAATATGTTCATGTCAAACAGTTTCATAAAAACTTAAAGGGTTTATTACAATGTTAAAAATGCTGGGTTCCACCCAATTCCTTCATGTTGTCCCAACACAAACCGATTTCTTTCAGTTTATCTTTATTTCTATAGCGCTTTTACAATGTAGATTGTGTCAAAGCAGCTCAACACTGATGTTCTAGTTAACTGAAACGGTGTCAGTCCAGTTTTCAGAGTTGAAGTATTGTTTAGTTTAGTTCAGTGTGGTTTTATTTTCACTGCTGGAAGTCCAAACACTGAAGAGTAAATCTATTAATGTGCAGCTCAAGTCCCAAACCAAGCAAGCAAGCCAGTGGCCAGTGACTAGTTACATGTAACGGCGTTACGTAATTTAACTACAAAATAAAAGTAACAGTAATTAGTTACAGTTACTGGAAAAAAAAAATATAATTAAATTACAGTTACTTTTGGAAATGCTAAAAATTACAAATGGGGTTACATCTAAAAAATATTCTTTAAAAATCTGGAATATGTTGATTAATAATCTGTTGCTTTGTCTGTTTTTGATATGCACGATGCCTTCTGCTAAGGCCATTCATTAAAGCCGTGCTATTCTGATGCTTTTGATTGGTTTACCTGTTTGAATTTGCAGGCAGCACACCACGCCTACCAGTTACGTTAATGCTCTTTGGCGCTAAAATCATCAGTCCGAGAGCTGTTACCATGGCGACCGATAAAAACGCATTTAATAGCTGGAAGTTTAAAAATAATTTCTCCCTGAATTCAGAGACGGGCACAAATATAACAGTTCAGTGCAAACTTTGTTTGCCAGCTGTTAAAATACTTTCTACATCAAAGGCTTCAATGTCGAACCTGAGGAAGCATCTGCAGGTATGTAAGCTAGCCTTTCTTTATTTTATAAAAGCAAATTATTTTTGTCGTTATCGTGAGTGTACAGAAATAAAAACAGGCCCTTTCATTTCCAATGATATAGTGGCGACAGCAGCGAGGAACAAAATTCACCAATTGACGAAAGTGAAGGAAAAAAAACACTGAGAAACCAGGCTCAACCTCGAGAGAGATCAAGCTCAGTCATGTGTAACCAGTGGTGAATTTAATCAGTAAGTAAGGTAAGCAGCCGCTTAGGGCCCCAGGAATTCTGAGGGCTCCCAAATAAATACAGAGAATTATACCTATGATATATAACATTGTTTGCTATAGGCTGCACGGTGATGCAGTGGGTAGCACGTTCGCCTTTTTTCGTTTTTCGTTTCAGTCCCGGCTGGGTCAGTTGGCGTTTCTGTGTGGAATTTGCATGCTCTCCCCATGTTCGCGTGGGTTTCCTCTGGGTGCTCCCCCACAGTCCAAAGACATACGCTATAGGTGAATTGAAGAAGCTAAATTGGCTGAAGTGTATGTGAGTGTGTTGCTCTTCCAGCTGCAACCCATCACTGGGAAACACCCACACACACTCAACCACATACATACACTACGGCCAATTTTAGCTCACCCAATTCACCTTGTGGGGGAAACCGGAGCACTCAGAGGAAACCCACACCAACACAGGGAGAACATGCAAACTCCACACTTAAAAGCCCCCTGAGACTACTCACCAGCCAAGCCATTACCTTCCCACTGTCAGGTTAACATACAGAACACTGCTTCACCACATTTCTAATCATAATAGTGTTAATAACTTATTTCTAATAACTGATATAATTTATCTTTGCCATGATGACACTGAATAATAGTTGACTAGATATTCTTCAAGACACTTCTATACAGCTTAAAGTGACGAGGTTCAATTAGGTTAACTAGGCAGGTTATTATAATTAGGCAAGTCATTTTATAATGATGGTAGACTATCTAAAAACATATTATGAACATTTCCTAAACATCATTTGGGAAATATAAAAAAATTATAATAATTTAAAGGGGGGCTAATAATTCTGACTTCAACTGTATATGCCAGCAAATAGGTTTTTACGAAAAATTTGCTATACTTTTTTAC